AGCAGCCGCCGCCACCGCCACAGCAGCCGCCGCCGCCGCCGCCGCAGCCGCCGCAGCAGCAGCAGCCGCCGCCCCAGGCCCCCCCCATGGAGCCCGAGGCCCCGGATTCCCGCAAGAGGCCCCTCGAAACGCCCCCCGAGGTGGTCTGCACCAAGCGCAGCAACACGGGAGGTGAGAAAGGGCTGCGCTCGGAGCAGGGGAGCGGGCGGGGGGCCTCGCCTTTCTCCATCCTCCTCTCCCCCCAATCGGCAGGTGCAAGGGCTCTAGGGAGGGGAAGGGCGCCGCTCCCTAGACCTGGGAACCGTGAAGGGAGTTGGGGAGGGTCCGGATCCCCTCCCCTTCTGGCCGCGGCCCGGGGCTGCGAGCTTTGTCTGCGACGAGAGGGTTTGGGGGGGAGGGGGTGGTAAGTGTCCTTGGTGGGGCGCAAAGGATGGGGGGCGTGGGTCCCTCTGAGCGGGTGTCTGTGTCCTTGAGGGGTGTGCGATGTGACCCCTTCGGGGCAGGGGAGTTCCCAGGCTGGCGTGTCCTGCCTGGCGTGGGGGGGGAGGGGAAGGAGTAGAGGAGGCCTGTGGCCCCGGAGCTTTCCATCCTCCCTCCCTAGGGATGTCCTGAGCAAGCGTTGTCCCAAAGGGAGACATGTGTGGTCCATGGGCGCGATCGTGTGTGGGTGCAGGCTGGGTGGGTGTGTTGAGTGAGATGGAGTTAAGGGTGGGTGTGTAAAGCTAGGTGGGAGAATGTGTGGCTGGGATAGATGTGGGGGGGGCTGTAAGGTCTGGATGTGTGACATTAGGGATTATGGATATGACAGTAAAGGGTGTGTGTGTGTGTAAGAGACAGGGTGAGGTGAGGGGGGCTCCATGCTCGATACCCTTGAAGGGGTATGTGTATCAAGGGAAAATATGTGCCTGTCACCCCAAAAGGGACTGTGGCAGAGTGTGACACATGAGCGAGAGGGTGTGTGTGACATGCAGGGGGGTGTGTGGGGGACGCCGAAGGGGCCGGCTCTGGGTGTGAGCCATGAGAGGCTGTGTGGATCCAGGGAAAGCAGTTCAGTGAGTGTGACACAGGCGTGTCTGGGGTGGGGTGGGAGAAGCCAGGGAGGGTATGTGACCAGAAAAGGGTGTGGGTGTGACTCCAGAAAGGCTGTGGCTGGGTGTGACACGCAGAGGTGTGCAACGGTGACGTCAGAGGGGGTGTGTGTAGCAAGGCAAGGTGGGTGTATGACGAGGGAGAGGCTGGAGCTCTGTGGGTGAAAAGCACAAGGGTGTGTGACAGGGACACGTGCATAGTACACCGAGGGGGCATGAAAAGGAAAGCAGTGTGTGTGTATGTGTAACGAGGGAGAGGTACGTGTGTGAAATGGTTTAGTGTGTAATACCAGCAAGGTGGGAATGATTCCGTGCGTGTATGGCAAGGAAGTGTGTGTGTGTGTGTGTGTGTGTGTGTGTGTGATGGCTTAATGTTTGACACCACAGAAGGGGTGTGTGTGTGTGTGTGTGTGTGTGTGTAAGACAAGAGGGACTTTCACTGTGTGTGTGACCTGAGAAGGAATGTGTACCAGACAATAAAAGACAAGCCAGGAAGGTTAGGTGTACGTCTCGCCAGTGGGGACTCAGGGAGGACATAGGGTTTGTGGGGATCCTCAAAGCCCAGACCATTAGCTCCATAGAAGGAGGGAGACCCCAGAGCAGACAAGCCCCTCCTGGCAGTCACCTTGGCCAAAATCTCTGCTTCCTCTGGCCTTTTCCTCCGGATGGGAGCCGGATGGCCTCAGGCAGAGTGCACCCTTCCCACTCTGCCTCCAGGCACTATAGTGGGCGAGGTGGGGACCTCCCACCTCCTCCCCTTGGATGAATGCAAGTCAAATCTCTTTCTCTCATCCTAGTGCCCCCCCACACAACCTCTGTCCAGGTGGGACAGGAATCAGGGACCCCTTGGCTGTCAATTAGGGTGTCCAGCAGAAATTGGAGGAAAGGGAAGTTGGGGGAGGGGTTGGGAGCGAGTTTCCTGTCCTTCTTCCTGCTTCCCCACCCCCAGCACACACATGAATATGGCCCCACCGACTTCCTTCCCTCTGTCCTGCCCCACTGCCATTCACAGTCCTGGAGAGGGTCCGGGACCCTGGTGGTCCTTGAGCCCAGTCCAGCAGTCGAGCCCCACGCCCACTGGTGGGGAGTGGGGGGTGTCCCACACTTCCCTTACAGGGGCTGAGATTCTCAAAATCAGATCACACAAAGCAGTGCAACCTAACGATAGCGATGCTGCCAAGGGCACTCAGGTCCAAGTACTTGGCACCTACTCCGAGTCGGGCTCTGAGATATGGGTTAACCTCCCATCGCATCCCTGTGCAGAGGTGATCTGAGCTGCTTTTCCAGATGAGGAAAACCGAGGCTCAGGGAAATGCAGCCACCTGCCCAAAGTCACACAGCTCATGAGTGGCGGAGCTGGAATCTACTCAACCCTGGGTGCCCAGTTCTAGGGCTCATGTGCTTCACCCTGGTGCCTCCTGCCTCCCTCAGCAGTGGAGAAACTAGGATGAGCCCTTAGGGACCCTCTCCTCCAGCCTCTGCCACCTCTCCTCCTGTTGACCCATGGGTAAACTGAGGCCCAGAGATGCAAAGGGAAAATATTCCATTTACAGGAACACTTAGGGACAGGGCTGGGCCGGACTTACATCTCAAATGTGAGGGCTTCTTCTGATGGCACTTCGTGGCTGTGGGACACTGGGTCAACCTCGCCCCTCTTCTGAGCCTCAGCGTTACTATCTGCCAAATGGGGAAATAACAGTAACCACAGCGATGATAATAATAGCGATCAATATCATCGCTGAATGCCTTACACGCAGTATTTCATTTAATTCTTCCAACACCATGATGTAATATTAATAATAATAATAATAATAATAATAATAATAATAAATTATAATGGCTAACGTTTATGGTCTCTAGCCAAGAAGTATGATGGAATACACTGAGCATGGAGCAGTTATTGAATCCTTACGATTCTATTACGTCATCCGTCTTACAGATGGCAAACTGAGGCACAGAGAGGTTAAGTAACTTGCCCAGAGTCAGTCAGCGAATAAGTGGTGGTGGGGGGGGGGCGCTGTGATTAGGACACGGGAGGCTGGCTCCACTGTGTGGGCAGACATTATAGTAAACCCCATTTTCAGGTGAACAAACAGGCTCAGAGGACCGAGGGACTTTTCCAGGGTGTCGCAGCAAGTTGTGGCAGACTGAGCAGATTGAGCTCCTGCCCATGGCACCAGCCTGACATTCCTGCCCCTTTCTCGGGCTCTGTTGGAGGTGGCGGTGGCCGTTAAAACTGGCTTCTGGTCACTGGGACTGGTGGGCAGACACCATTGGGAAGGAGACGAGGTGCTGAGGACAGGAGGACTTGGGCGAAGAGTTGGATGGGAACTTCAGGGGGGAACTCATAACAGAGACAGAGACCCCAGGCTGGTGAGACGGTGAGACAGTCACCAACAGTCCCCCTGGAGTACAGGTGCTGACTCTGAAGGTGCCCCTAGAATGGCCCTCATACCTCTGGCTGTATTTCCATCTCCGTCACCCCCGTATATACTGAACTAGCACTGCCCCCCACTTACACACACACATCCCTTACACCCCAAATGTAGCTTACGCCAGCCAGATCTTGCTCCCAGCATCCCTCACGCTCTAACACAATGTCGTCAGGGTTAAGAGCCCCAGACTGAGACCTCCCGGGGTTCATCTCATCACTGTCATTTGCTTAATGTGGGACCCCCAGGCGAGTTATGTCACTGCTCTGAGCCTCAGTCTCCTCATCTGAAGAATGGGGACTGTAAGATCTACCTCCGCCTCTCGGGGCTCTGGTGTGGGTTAAGTGAGGTTGTGTGTGTGTGAAGCACATAGCGTAAGACCTGGCAGATGGTAAGCACCCAATAAGCGGCAGCCATCGTCATCATCATCATCATCATCATCATCATCACCATTATTATCGCCACTGAGAATGTCACCACCCAGCGGTGAATCGCCCCGAGGAAATCGTACGCCATCCACCTTCTCTCACTCAGAGACAGTGTCACAACCCAAAGACAGCATCACACCTTTCGGCATCTCATCCCTTCGGAGACCCAGTTGTATCACGTTTCTCACACAAACGGGCGACACCATCATTCACAGAAAGACATCACACGCCTGGCGTCCCGCCCTCCTTGGCGGTTCCGGTCCCACACCACACCCCGCCATCTCTTCTCTTCCACCAACAGCATGACGGTGTCAACATCACGCCCCAGCCTCCTCATACTTCCAGAGAGCACACGACTCTCCCACCCCCGACCCCCAGACAAGAGCAGGTACCGTGGGGGAGACAGTATGTCGGTCTCCCCCAGACATACTGTCACCCAAAACAACACCTCTGCAACACACACCCCTTCGGCTCTACCTCTGTCATTAATGAGCCCCACTCCAAGATCAGGGCCACTCAATACCACTGCACCCCCAGATCTTTAGGGTAGGTAGACATTATTTAAGGAGAGGGTGGGCGAGTATCGATTGCTTTTTGGAAGCCTCTAGAAGTATCCTGACGGTGGGCACGAAGGGGACACAGGTCAATCAGGAGAGCCAAACTTGGCATCTTCAGTTCTTCAGTTCCTGTCATGGTAGAGGGAGCTGCCCGGACCCCAAGGGAAGAGCTAAGAGTGGGGTGGAGCGTGGGTGGCTGGAAAGTTCTGGCATCTAGATTCTGCTTCAGCAGAAGGAAGAACTTCTCCACAGGCAGAGAGTCTTGGCTGTTCAAACAGGGTGAGATGTGTGAGGTCTGGGGGCTCTGGGTTCAGCTGAGGTCACGTGTCTCCCCTTGCTGCAAGGCAGGCTGGGAAATAGAGGCCTGGCTTCTTTCTGGGGGGAGGTGGGTTTCACAGCGGGTCGTGCCCCGCAAACCGGAAGGACATGCAGATTCTGAAGAGGACCAGACTGGTGGCCACAGTAGAGACTCCTGGGACCTAGAGTTCTGAGCTTCTATGGGCGGGTGGTCTCAGCTGGCCACCCTTCCTAGGAGACCAGCCTGAGGAGGGGGCTTCAAATTTTCACTAGTCTGATACAGGGACCACTGAGCACCCACAAGATGGCTTTATAAGGTCTGTGGACAAACTTTTTTTTTTGACCATTGTTTGTATAAAGTTACTTGAATTGAGGGGGAGACATAACCAGCCCTTTAAATTCTGATCGTTAGCAATGATTTCTAATGTCCTCTGAAATCAATGCATTTAAATTTTAAAAGCGAGTGGACTTAAAAGAAATGGACTGCCTATTTTGTTCCCTGATGTGTCGCCAGCACCTAAAACGAGGCCTGGCACATAGTGGGTGCCCAGGAAAGATTTGCTGGAGGAAGGGACGGAAGAGAAAGAGAAGAAAGAAGGAAATGATAGTACAGAGGGACGTGGGCGATGGAGGAAGTGGGGTATCCCCTCTTCCTCCTATTTCCCAACAGAACCCCAAAACTTAGAGGCTCATTTCCCCACTTATAGAGCACTCGCCGTGTGCTAGACGCTGTGTGCGATAAGGACTTTACCTGTGTCTGTGAAGCAGGTAACAATAATAATAACAGTATCTAACGTTTCTCAGATGCTTAAGTGCCTGAGCCCATCCTAAGTACGTTCCGGTGTATCATTTCGTGAATGACAGGAATTCTACGAAGTAGTGCCGCCGTGTCCCCATTTCACAGATGAGAAAACTGAGACCCAAAGAAGTGTGGCGGCTTGCCCAAGGCCACACAGCCTGCCAGTGACAAATTCACTCCGTCAGCCTAGGGCTGCGCCTGCCGTTTCCCGGTGGAAATTCCGACAAAACCCGGGAAGAGTGAAAGAGAGGGTGCAGGAAATGGGGTGAGGGGACATCCCCAGTTTTCTTCAGAGTGGCCGAATCGCTTTTCCCTTCGAGAGGGAAGCTGGGGCAGAGGAGACAGGGAGTGGAGTCGGAGGAGGAAAGAGGACGGAGTCCCAGTGAGAATGCCTCGCCATCTTTCTGAACCTTCCAGAACCAGTGGGCAGGCAAGGGGCCACTTCTGTGAGCCCAGGCAAGAAAGTGAATTAAGTTGGGGGGGGTCAGAATGATTGATGGGAAGGCACCCTGTCAGGGGTGGGGGAGCTAATTACCTAATAGGCTTAATGATCTGATTAGGCAAATATAAGAGGATTGCCTCGGGCTCAGGGAAACCCCTTAATTCTGGACCCCCTCCCCATGCCAGCACAGCCACATCCAGCCTCGCCCTCCCAGACCCCATCTTAGCACATCGGGGAACCTAGAACCTTCAGTCTCCAGGGACCCCGCAGGGCTCCCAGCCCCCCGCCCTGCCCCCACTTTTACCAGTGCGGATTCTCTTTTTATCTGCTTCGTACGTTGGAGTTTCATGGGAGAATATTGAAAATAGGTTTCCTTGGCTTAAAAGAAAACGTTGAAAGCTGCTGGGGGATGGTTGAAGACCTGAAGCCTTGGAAGCGGAAGGACCTGGCTCCCCCCTTCCCCGCCCCGCCCTTTTCCCCAGTGTTTATCGCATGCTGGGCACTGCGTGAGTCCCTGGGGCACGAGGGTCTAGGGACATGACCCACAATGCACTTCTGTGGTACAGTGCTCTGACGGCAGGAAACGGGATCCATCCCCTCCTCAGAGTTCGAGGAAAGCTTCCGAGAAGAAGCGGCATTTGAGCGGGGTTCGGAGGACAAGAAGAATTCACTGGGAGAGGCGGGTTCCAGGCGGAAAACGTGCAAAGGCCCTGGGGTGGGACAGAAGAGGAAATGTCTGAGGAACAGAAAAGAAAGTGTGTCTGGTGTGCGTAGAGGAAGGTGAGGATGTGGAGCTGGAAAGGTGGGCGGGGCCAAATCGCCAAGGGACTTATACTGAGAAGGCTCTGGAAGTTTTACCGTAGAAGGACTTGGATGCAACAGTTTGGTCAGAAGGAAGGAGAGGCTAGGGACGCGCCTTGCGACGGCGCTGACGAAGTGCTTTGCACATGACCATGAAAATGGGTCCCTAACAAAGACCGGCCAAAGCCTCACGGACACCCTTGGCACCATCTCGGGACTCCAGGCCTTTGACACTGTCTCTGAGCTGTTGCCACCGGCAGGGGAGGGTGCTGAGCAGCGGAGGGCCAAGAACGCAGCACAATTGCATTTGACCGTCTTGGGCGGGTGACCTTGGGCCGGTGGCCTCCTTTCCGTGAGCCTCTCTGCGCCTCAGTTTCCTCTTATTTAAAAATGGGTCTCATTCTAGCCACCTCACTGGTAGTCATGAGAAACGGATGAGGTCAAGTTTGCCAAACACTCAGCACAGCGCTGGGTGGTAGTGAGCGCCGAGAACCCCAGAATGCAGCCCTCCTCCTCCCTCCCTCCTCACCCCTTCCACCTGTCAGCCCACCACCCGCTCCTGTCTGGCCCCGTCGCCTTCTCACTGGGCTCCCGGCTCCTCCGCCCTCGCCTCTCATACATAGTCTGCTCACCTCCTGGGCGTCAGAGGGATCTTCTTGAAACCTCAGTCAGATCACACCCCTCCTCTGCTCAGAACCCTCTGTGGCTCCCATCTTACTTCGGGCAAAAACCAAAGACCTCACCGTGGCCCCCAAGCCTCAACACGCCACCACCTCCACCACCCCACTGGGCCCACGCCTCACTCTCCCTCAAACAGCCCAGGCACAGAACCACCCCAGGGCCTTTGCACTCGCTCTCGCTCCACAGTCACATGGTTGCGTCCCCTCCCCCACGGCCTGGATAGAGCATATCGTAATGGTTCAGAGCATGGACATCTCGGCCACCGACTAGCTCTGCGAACTGGGGCGATGTCTCCAGCTTTGTTTTCCTGTCTGTAGAATGTTTTGGGTTTGTTTTTTTTTTAAGTACCTTTCTCATCACATTAGTGTGAAAATTAAATGAAGTATTTGTAAGTACTTGTTAGAGAATCCAGCACACATCGGTGCTATAGAGTGTTTGCTATCAAAGGCCACGTTCTCTGACAGTGCCACCCCTACACTCCCCATCCCCTTGCCTGCCTGTTTTTTTGTTTTCCTAGTACTTACCACCACCTGACACAAACCATACCGTCTGTCTCCCCCCTCTAGAAGGAGGAGCTGTGCAAGCTCTCAGCTGAATCGCTAAAACTCTTTTAGCCTTATTTGGCCCACAAAAATCACGGAGCTTTGTCTGCTTTCTTCATGGCTGTTTCACTGGAATGGTGCCAAGCACGCAGCAGGTGCTCAGTACCTGTTTGTGGAATGAATGAATGAATGAATGAATGAATATCGTTATTATTATGATCTCCTTACAGCCGTTCTCATGGCCGTTGCTCCCGTATGTTACCATGATCCTAGTGGTTTCTGGGCTGGCACATCCTTCGGGGTACCCTCTCAAAGTGAAGAGCACCCCTTCTGACTCCCCTCCCACTGTGTGTGCCCCTGCAGAGGAAGGCGAATACTTCCTGAAGGTGCTGATCCCCAGCTACGCGGCGGGCTCCATCATCGGCAAGGGTGGGCAGACCATCGTGCAGCTACAGAAGGAGACGGGAGCCACCATCAAGCTCTCCAAGTCCAAAGACTTCTACCCCGGTGAGCCCCTGCCCAAGACTCTGCTCGGGGGCCTCCCGTCCCTCCCACCTGGGCCCAGGATGACGGGGAGGGGCTGCCCAGGAGCAGTGAGAGTGTGGGGGAGACCTCCCCTCCTGCTAAGGGGACAGAGCTGCCCTCAGGCCCCCCCCAACTCAGGCCAGAGCAGATGGGGGTGGGGGCAGGGCAAAACAATGGGCCTGCTGCATATTCATGAGCTCATTTGCATGATGTGCTGGCAGATGTGCCCCTTCCCACACACCTGCCCCTTTGGGTCAGTTGGAGGAGCTGGTGGGGAGGGGGAAAAGGAAGCAGGTGTTAGGGTGTCCCTCCGGGCTTGGGGGGTGGGCAGCCGTCCGTGTTACACACACCCCCACACTCCTTTCCCCCCAGTATTTCCCTTTGGATTTCAGTCATCCCGTCTCGCCCACCCTGAGTCCCACTGGTCCGCTCTGTGTCATTCTTTGTGCCTTTCGCATGCCGTCTCTGGCTCGCCCACCTCTGTGCCCTCCGTCTCCAGCCGCATCCGCCTCCCCGGCTCCTCCTGCCTTTCTTTTCGCTCTGTCTCTCTGGCTCCGTCTGGAGGTCCCCCCATCCCCTTAGTCTCCCTTAGTCTCCCTTCCGGTCCGTCTCCGCTTCCCCCTCTCCCCCCCGACTCCTGTTTTCCTCCCTTTGTGTCTTCCCATCTCCCTCCCATCTCTTCCTTTCCCTCCACCTTTCCTATTCTCTCATTTTTCATTCTCTTACTCTCCCAATTCTCTCTCTCTCTCTCTCTCTCTGCAGTCACCCACTCAGCCGGTACTCAGCAACCCCGCCGTGGGGCTGCCCCGTTTCTGTCTGCCTCTGCTCGCCCATCTCTCCCTTTACGCTTCCCTCCTTCTCCTAAGCCCAGCTCCCTCCCGTTTTGTTCCGTTCTGCTCTCTCTTTAAACCCAGCCCGTGTGCTGCTTCTCCTCCCGCTCTGTCTCCGTCTCCCCAGCCATACATTTGTCAAGGCCCCTGCAACTCTCTCTAATCCCCCTCAACACCCCTCACCCTTCCGTATCTCCCTCCCAAGACCAACGCCTGCCTGGGCTCTGACATCTAGGAATCCAGGGAAGGCCCCCTGAAATGCGTCTTTGGCCCGGCTCTGCTTCTAGTTCATCCTAATCCCCTTGGAGTTTTGTAGGTCAAACACCAGAGCCGGAGCCCAGGTCAGGACACATTGATATCCTCTCTTCTCT